CCGCTCCTCTCCCACCACCCCCAATCACTGTTGTTTCAACCAAAACACATCAAACCTGACGGGAAATGGGACACAACATTGAACAGGGGGCGGGGGGACTGACGTTTGTTGAAATTCAAAGGTTTTGTGGCATCTGTCCCAAGACTTTTGAAACTGATTGTCTGAAAGGCAATGAAAGGCATATTTAAACTCTTTAAATTACCGGATGTTTTAAAATATCAGTTTTGCGAAAATCATATAGCATTTAGTATAACATGTTTACTGATTAGAATTGCATTGGCATATGTAATGTCCTTACTGTGCTTCGGTTGTCGTCAGTATCTTTGAAATGTAACACAATCCAACAGTATATTATAAATGAGCTTATAAAAAGATGTGAGTGTGGGGAGGGAAGTATGCCGAGAGATTAAACTTGGTCTATATGCAAAGGATATCTGGTTAATTATCGACCTAGGTTATTGCAAAATAAAATGCAGGGGTATAAGTTATCGCAGACCACTTAAAGATTGTGCATATTTGACATGAAAACACGTATGTAATATAAAACGGCTTGAACACGTGCTCGCTTAACACTCGGTTGTCACTTTGAAACACATAGCATTTTCATTGATACAACTTTCAATTGTCGCGGCATAATCATTTTCAGAACATTAAGAGCGACTGTCCGTAAAAATCGAGCAAAATTTGAATTCTGCGGCAATACACGAAAAATAGATTTCTTTAATATTTTGCTTAAATTTAGGTAACACCTAGTTATAAATGGTGTTTGGGTTAGATTTTCAATATTTGGTCGATAAACGTACAAATATCAGAAATCAAGAATTTGTCTCCGGAAGGCTATAATTAGCCGCAGACAACGCCGTTGCCATGGCCAATTTCATCACTTCGCGACGGATTCAAAACTGCCCGTAGATAGTTTTGACGGCTTAATGATTATAATTCAAGTATTAAAGAACACTGTTATCAATATAGAATGGTTCAGGAGGCTTTAGCTGGTCTGACAGACGTCGTTGAAATTGACTATTTTTAGTCAAATTTTAGAATTGCATTTTGTGGCTGGATTTGAGGGGGAAATTTACTATGTGCGATAATCGTGAATTTGTTTACATTTCATCCACGGAATGGTATAGCATGAGTACATGCTATATATAAAAACTAGCTTGGGTTATGCCTTGGAGCCTCGCACGAGACTTTCAAAAAAGCTCATTTTGGTGATTTCCAGTGGAATGTAACACAATTAAATCATTAGGTCTATACGTCTATACAAAGTCACGAAGCTCAAATTGTTCAAAACTTTGAATTTTGTGTTTCGATATCCAATGTATATGCTTTGTATACTTTATAAAGAAGCGTTTAGAAGGATTTTCAAGATATTTTTGTGATAGGCTTACTTACAACAAAAGCACAACAAATCATCATATTATATTACTAGACTGTAACGTTGCTATTTATAGCAATTTGCGTGTTGTTACTGAATGTATAGTTAATATGTCTGTTTGTATGCTTTTGAAGTCTTATAATTTCTGACATTAGTGTTTAATGTTTCTCTGCATACAGTATGTAAACTAATAGAATTAAAGCTAGGTAAATACAATAAAAGTACATGAGTTGGAACATGTATATGTTTACACTTTACGCTAAACATTTTGCTGGACTTTCCTGTTATACTGCGAAACTAACAAACAGGTGACCCTCTTCTACATCTGCTACAAATAAGAAAAAGATATATATATATACATGAGCAAAATAAAAACTGTGAAAAACTCAAAATGGAAGCGATAAGGAGCGACTTCGATGTTTTGCCTTCCTATGAAAATGCAAGCGGAATAATGAACGTAACAACTTAAAAACTAGAAATAATTATAGTCTACATATGCAAGAAGTAGACTGAGACAAGTAGTTTATGCAAGAAAATAAACCAAAAGTGACTGTCGATTATATTTCATCCACGGAATGCTATAGCATGGATACATGTTGTATATAAAAACTGACTTGGGTTATTGCCGTGGGGCCTCAGGCGAGACTTTTAAAAAAGATCCTTTGTAAATGATGTCCTACACTGCGTGGAAATGAACGTAATCTTGATTGATTGATTCTAGTTTAATTTTCTGTAGAGATTTTGTTTTGCTCAAAATTACAGCTTCAATGATGAAGAATGACTCTAACAGTTCATTCATATTCAATTTATCTCGTTTTTTAAAATATTTTGACGAGTGTGACGTCACCGTGAGATCGTGTCAAGAAAGTCTGATATCTTTGATGATAACTTAATAGAATTTAGTCCAAATGGGCATGTTTAATAGGTGCACCTGCAAGTGAACAGTTCGAATTATTTACTTGTTTAGCTTTACAAATTCTTCCTGTAGACTTTAGTTTACTCGTTTCAATGGTTTACAATTATCACAACACCTATGAATACTAGGCCATCGTAATAAGCGGGAATTGCAGAAATTGGTTTTTATTTCGCTGGAAATGGTGGAAATGAACACCGCGGGAAAACATCTGCTCATGCCAAATTGTAAACTTTTAACTGAAAACCGATTGCAGCTATTTAGCTATTTAATCCCCGAGCCGACGGCGCGAAGCGCCGTGCGAGGGTACTAATTCCCCCCGGCTATTTCAGCCGTTCCGCACGTTGTAACCAATAATTTATTGGCGTTGTAATGCCATTGTATGCAATAAAGTATTGGGTTGTAATGGGCTTACAATTAATCCTAACCCTAACCTCTAACCCCTAACCTCTAACCCCTAACCCCTAACCACACCTAACCCCACCTCCTAAAACCCTAACCCCACCTCCTAACCCCTAACCCCACACCCTAACCCCCAACCCCCAACCCTAAAGCCGGCGGCCCGCTACCCTCCTGGGGAAAGTACCCTACCGCCTCCCCACCATCGACCAGGCTAAGCCAATTACATTCATAACTAAAACTTTTGTCTAATGCTTGTGGTTTTGTCTTCAGTTACAACCCAATACTTTATTGCATACAATGGCATTACAACGCCAACAAATTATTGGTTACAACGTGCGGAACGGGTGGCTATTTACACCCGGGGAAACGAAAGCATTAGCGGAGTCTAAAGTTCATCAATTATCGCGGCGCTCACCAACGGTGTTGAGTGGGTGGTCATCACTGATCTCAGAATATGGCTGTTTGCCAGGAGTGAAGAAGGCAAAAATATAAAAAAATACCTGTAAGAAAGCTTGGAAAATCGTTTCACATAACAAATTGTACAACTTTTTTTCAATTTTTAAACGTAAACATTGATAAGAATTGATATTGTATTATAAATCCCAAAGTATAGGGCAAGTTTGCTTCAATTGTTTATGTATGGCTTTGTATTTAATAATATAGACTTTGTTCTTGATGTTCAAGTCTTTCCTATGCATTGTTTGCGAAAGTCTCTTAGTTAAATTAACTTTTGTAGAAGTTCATGATAAAAAGGAAAGCAAATTATTTTCATTAGCGTCCTGTACGAATTAAATTTGTTTCATTTCAAAGTGCGAGTAATAAGTTGAAGCTCGAGTTGAGAAGTTTATAAATATCGGCAAAAAGCAGTTAATTTCAATTCACATTTAAAAACGTAGAGTTTCGTTTTGAATTTTACATTAAAATAAAGCCCATACAAACCAAAATATTAGACCTACTTTATATATTTTAGAAATTGATAGTTCTGTATTTAAAACTGTTCAAATTTCATCAGGGACGCCGGAACTGGGGGGGGGCAGGACGGGCAGCCGCCCCCGTTGCCCTTTACCAGGAGGGGCAAGGGGGGCTAAGGTACCCTTTCAATTTAAAGGATTGCCTTGCCGAAATAGCGAATTGTCAGAAATGTTAGTGCAATTCTTTTACGAATTTGCTTCAGAAAACGCACGAAATGCAGAAATCGAACTTCAAGAATAGCGCAATCGCCTGGCGGAGAACCCCCTCACACCCCTATCATCCAATAAATAGAAAACATGATTAGGCGAAGTTCAACTCCCGATGTTTTGCAAACATCTCTTAGCATATATCAATTCAAAAGTGCCGTTTCACGAAAATCTGCCCTCCCCCTTGCCTTCACATCGTTCCGGCCTCCCTGAAAACAAAAAATTAAAAAAACAATATTGTGTTGCCATATGACTAACATGACGTGCAACGCGAGCCTGCGTTCAGTGTGGTTCAGTGTTGGCGTAATTAGGAACGGCTTCATGTTGAAACAATGTTTGGAAAATATAGGCGAGGGGTTGTTGCATATGTATTTCTAGTTATTTAAGGTAATTGATACAAACAAAAAAATACATTAGACGGGTAGTTTAGATATTAATAAAAAGTTTTCTAACATTAAAAATCTAAAAAGAAACAGAATTTAAATTAAAAATTACCGTTTAAATTAAGACCAGGAGGCGTGTGAACATTTCTTGAAGAATTGTCGAATACCAAACTTATGAACCTACGAAAAATATCTTTGTATGGTTCAGTTAAAGAACGTTTTATACAATAAATTTATCGACAGTCTCTTTTGGTTTATTTTCTTGCATAAACTACTTCTTGCATACGTAGACTATATAATTATTTCTAGTTTTTAGGTTGTCACGTTCATTATTCCGCTTGCATTTTCATAGGAAAGGCAAAACATCGAAGTCGCTCCTTGTCGCTTCCATTTTGAGTTTTTGACAGTTTGTATTTTGCTCATGTACATATTATATGTTTTTCTTATTTGTAGCATATGTAGAAGAGGGTCACCTGTTTGTTAGTTTTGTAACAGGAGAGTCCAGCAAAATGTCTAGCGTAAAGTGTAAACATATACATGTTCAACTCATGTACTTTTATTGTATTTACCTAGCTTTAATTATATTAGTTTACATACTGTATGCAGAGAAAGCATTAAACACTAATGTTTGAAATTATAAGACTTCAAAAGCTTACAGACAGACATATTCAGTTCACTACCTCAGAAAGTAAAGCTGATGCTTTCAACAAGTACTTTGCATCCACCTTTCATCCTTCTGCGCCTAGTCCATCTAGTGTTGGTTCTAGTATCTGTGATGAAGACACTCTTAAATCCATTTCGGTTTCAACGGAAGAAACTAGCTGTCTACTTTCAAATCTCTCTACAGATAAAGCAACCGGTCGCGATGAGATATCTGCCAGATTGTTGAAAGAGTGTTCGAACGAGATTGCTCCATCCTTAACAGCGCTGTTCAACAAATCACTCACTCTTGGTAAAGTTCCCCAGGAATGGAAGGAAGCTAATGTTGTCCCTGTTCCCAAGAAAGGTAATGTTCACGAGGTCAGTAACTATCGGCCGATTTCCCTGCTGTCACTAGTGTCGAAACTTCTCGAGCAAGTTGTGCATTTGCACGTGTCGGAATTTGTTGAATCATCACTGAGTAGTCTGCAACATGGTTTCCGCAAAAGACGTTCGTGTGTCACCCAACTTCTTGGTGTTTTCCACGACGTTGGTAAAGCCCTAGACTCGGGAAAGGAAGCTGACATGGTTTACTTAGACTTCTCCAAAGCCTTTGATTCTGTTTCTCATCGAAACCTTCTTTTGAAACTTGAACAACATGGTATCTCCGGTTCATTGTTGAACTGGTTCTCCGACTATTTGAGCGAAAGACGTCAGCGAGTAGTGGTCGACGGTGTGTCATCCTCGTTTCTTAATGTAACATCAGGGGTACCACAAGGCAGCGTACTCGGCCCACTTTTGTTCTTGATTTACGCAAACGACCTCCCAAAGGCAGCGAATCATAGCACAGTGCCCATGTTTGCTGATGACAGCAAATGCTATCGTCAAATAACCCAACCTCGAGATAGAGATCTTCTTCAGGATGACCTAAATTCCCTACACCAATGGTCTAAGACGTGGGACTTAAATTTCAATGCGAAGAAGTGTGTTGCCCTCAGATTTTCACGAAAGAAAACCTCCGTTCCACCTCAAGACTACTTCCTAAACCAGCAACTTATAAAGTCTTCCTCTACACAGAGTGATTTGGGTATCCTGGTGAGCGACAATTTAAAATGGTCCAAACACATCATCAGTATCGTTTCTAAAGCCAACAGAATGCTTGGTTTTCTGCGCCGCAATTGTTTCCACCTCACTGATGTGGATACTCGCCGCCTTCTGTATTTGTCTCTGGTCCGCTCTCACTTATCGTTCGGCTGCGAAGTCTGGGCTCCTCAAAGTGCGTCTGCTGATCTGCTTCATCTAGAAGGAATTCAACGCCGAGCAACAAAGTTTATTCTTCAGGACTATGATTTGTCATACGTTAGTCGCTTGAAAAAACTAAATCTAATCCCCCTTTCATACTGGCATGAAATTAAAGACATTATATTCCTCTACAAATGTAAATACGGGATGTACGAAATTGACATCAATCAGTATATAACCCAACCTCTTCACCACTCCACTCGTTCCAGTTCTGGTGATTTTCGTCCAAACCTGTGCAAAACCTCCCTCTTCCGAAACTCATACTTTAACAGAATTGTATTTTTATGGAACAATTTACCGTCTGATATCAAATCATCTTCGTCAGTCGCCATACTTAAATCTAAACTATATATGTATTACACTAGAAAGCTGAATAGTACTTTTGATGTAGACCGTCCTAGAACATGGAAAACTGTATGCAGTAAATGTCGTTCTTTACATACAATCTGTTGTTCATAGATGTAATTATAATTGTTGTATGTCCTATTGTTTATGTATATAATATGTATTCTTGTAATACCTATAAGTAATTATGTAATGTACGTTTTTGGTGGGACTTAATTAGGGACTCACGTCCTGTTGTCCTTACCTTCGGTCATTTGATTGTAAAGTTAATAATAAAAAAAAATTAAAAAAAAAAAAAAATAAAAAATATTAAATATACATTCAGTAACAACACGCAAATTGCTATAAATAGCAACGTTACAGTCTAATAATATAATATGATGATTTGTTGTGCTTTTGTTGTATGTAGGTCTATCACTAAAATATCTTGAAAATTCTTCTAAACGTTTCTTTATAAAGTATACAAAGCATATACATTGGATATCGAAACACAAATTCAAAGTTTTGAACAATTTGAGCTTCGTGACTTTGTATAGACGTATAGGCCTAATGATTTAATTGTGTTACATTCCACTGAAAGTCACCAAAATGAGCTTTTTTAAAAGTCTCGTGTGAGGCTCCAAGGCAATAACCCAAGCTAGTTTTTATATATAACATGTACTCATGCTATACCATTCCGTGGATGAAATATAAACAAATTCACGATTATCGCACATAGTAAATTTCCCCTTCAAATCCAACCACAAAATGCAATTCTAAAATTTGACTAAAAATAGTCAATTTCAACGACGTCTGTCAGGCCAGTTAAAGCCTCCTGAACCATTCTATATTGATAACAGTGTTCTCTAATACTTGAATTATAGTCATTAAACCATCAAAACTATCTACGGGCAGTTTTGAATCCGTCGCGAAGTGATAAAATTGACTATGGCAACGGCGTTGTCTGCGGCTAATTATAGCCTTCCGGAGACAAATTATTGATTTCTGATATTTGTACGTTTATCGACCAAATATTGAATATCTAACCCAAACATCATTTATAACTAGGTATTACCTAAATTTAAGCAAAATATGAAAGAAATCTATTTTTCATCTATTGCCACTGTTTGCTCGATTTTTACGGACAGTCGCTCTTAAGTACTAAGCAAAAGTGTTTAGAGAGCGCGTATTGACATATTACGGGTTTTACTTAATCACAAGGTAGCCTATATTAATTTTATAAAATGTATCGATTGACACTCAACTCTAGAAATATCAATATAAAAATATTTCCTACGGAAATATGTTTTTTTATGTCAAGCCTGAATTATAGTGATAAGATAAAAGTAGGAAATAGTTAGATTGGATTGTGGCAGATTAAGGTGGGACTTGGCGGAGAAGGAAATTCCGGTGCTTTTACCCACGTAAGAAACATAAAGTCAAGGCCAAATTTTAGCTACGAAAAGCAAAGCAAAGTTATTCACTTTTCAATTCAACCTTTTTCGTGATCGAGTGAAGACATACGAATTTTCTTTGACGTTTTGGACTTCTTTCTTTTACCTTTATACAGGTGAGATTTTCAATTATTATTATTCTTATATTATTCTTATATTTTCATACTTTTAATTTGGGTATTATGGACTTGTCACGCCCAAAAGTTCTTGTTTTTGGACACTCGTTTGTCAAAAGTCTCCATCGCGATTTGCGCTCTAATTTCGACGTCCGTGCGGCCATTAGTTTTAATATATACAAAGGGCCTCCGTAAAATTGCATGGAATTGGGGGACGCACAGTAGACAAGTTGATCGCGTTCGATTTAGATAAAGTTCGTTCATTTCGGCCTGCCATTGTAATTTTGGAAGTGGGTACTAATGACCTTAGCCATAGCAAACCCGAAGTAGTGGGTTCCAAAATCGATGACCTCGTTCATCTTTTACTTCAGCTCCCTTATGTTCAGATAGTAGGGGTTTGCTTAATTACACATCGGGCAGCTTCCCCGGAGTTCAACAGGCAGGCGTTTATTTTGAACCAATATTTAGAGGTCGTTCTGGACGGTGTTCCCAACGTTTTTTGCTGGAGTCATAAGGGATTCTTACAGCGCGTAAAATCTCCGTTTCTACCAGACGGTGTTCATTTCAATCGTAGAGCGCAATACACGCTGTATCGCAGTTATCGCGGTGCTATTCTTAAAGTTTTAGCAAGCCTTCCTAGTTGTTAGTCTGTTATCTTCGGTTGTATGTCTTTTATACTTTTATGTCACCAGATACTGTTTAATTCTATTTAGATTTCTTCTTGCACGAGGCTACGCCCTCACACTTTGATTCTCGTGTTGGCTACGTCCACACAGAATATGTTTTATTTGGAGAAGTACTCCATACTTTATAATCCTTGTGAGATTTTATTCTCGTTTATTTGTGATGGCTACGTCCTCACACGTGTTAATCTGAGGCTACGTCCTCATTATTTCTTAGTGGCGTTTTATTGGGCGAGTGGTGGGGCCACTTTGTTGTGTGCCATGCTCGACCCAGCCTATATTGTAGTTTTATTTTATCTTGTTAGATTTTATACTTCATAAGCTTTTAATATTTCCCACTACGTTTTGAGTGTGTTTTTCAGGAATTTTACCATGCCTGCCACTCGAAATCAACGTGCTCAGCGACCAGTATCGGTAGCCGTACCACCAGCACGCCGTTCCCATCGCGCTCGAGCGCCCTGTGCCCCAGGAACAACCACGACGGTTCCTTCGTCCAGTTCTCCTCGGCCAGCAACAGCTGCTCCTCTTGCTCCAGCCTCGGCTATCACGCCCCAACAGCTCCAAGAGATCGTCAGCTCCGTAACCGCAGAAGTGACTCGACGCCTGCAAACTGTAGCAACTCCAGTGCCTGGTGTCCACGCAGTCCCATCGAGTTCTCCTTCTGGACCTGCTGCCTCAGTTACGGAATCGCCTATTGTCCGCATCTCAGAGCACGTTGCGACTCCTCCGACGGCTGTGGCGCAACTTGCTGTTTCCAACGCTCTTGGTTCGGCCCACGCCACAATTTCAGGTGAGACGTTTTTGGCGCCTAATTCTAGCCATGTTCAACCAACGCAGGAATATCACTCTATTAGTTTACCTATAGACT